ATACAATATTAATGGTAATTTCCCTTTTATTCATAAATATAGAGATATATTACTCAAGTAATTTTATGTACGGTCTATAATGGTGGATTTCCAACATCCATGCATTTTTATCTATTTTCTATGTCATTTATTTATCATTTTGAGGTAAACCTTTGGATTTGACCAATGATTGTTAAGGCTTCTTTCATTCTACCCGTGCGTTGCGTGGGAAGTATTAACTAATTATATATTAATAATATTCAATGGCTATATTTCATCTAAATGTGTAATTAATTTTTCTTGCATTGCCATAAATATTTGAAATGTAATGGACTAATCAAACAATATTTATGAAATTAGTAAGGGGATTTATTTCAGTATTAATAAGAGCACCAAATATACAAGTTATTGTAATATCTAGAGTCAATATAATACCCCATGTTTTGTGAAATAAATAAAATAAAAATTCATGAGATGGTTTTAGATAATCCATTAAAGAATTCAAATTATACAATGTTATATGAAGGCAATTATAACTGTGAGTATCATAAAAAAAAAAATCTCATTTCAATACTAATAAATACTTGATGAAAGAATTTCAATAAAAAACTAAAACATGTTTCATGAGAAGAGAAAAGAATAATCCTATATTCATAAATTGAGAAATCACATTGATGCATTAATTTATTGCTAATACTTGGTGAAAAAGCTAATCGGTAGTATATCATAACTATAATGACCAATCACGCATTTCAATAGAGCTTCCATGCTTTCTTTCATTTGTGGATAAGTTTAGATAGTAGCAATGTGACTTTGAGATGAAAAAGTCATGGCTAAAAGTTAAAATAATATATCACAAAAAAGACATTAAATAAGAAAAGAGAAAGCTAGCTAACAGCAAAAACAAACTGACACCCTATATAAGCATGTTAGCATCCTATCATTAAAGGGACATGAGCTCTAATTTTAATTATATAGATTGTAAAAAAATTCCAATTAAGGTCAATGACATTATCTTTATCTAAAAAAAAACTAATAAGTAACTTTATCCTCAGACTCAAATATTAAATCTCCAAACAAATTGATTTCATTCATTGTCGCATAGAACTATTAGCTTATTTCAACAAATTAGTTAAGATGCCAAAAAAAAACACATGCATTAAAAATAACTTTATCTATTAAATTTAGTGAAATAAGAAAAAAAATATACACAATAAATGCCTTGAAAGTAACATTCATATTAACCGTATTAACTCATTTTTTACCATTAGCCAAAGGCGAGGAACCTTTCATAATTCTTGTCCAAATAAATGAAGATACTTATATATAGTCCCAAACATTGTCTAAAATAATGACACAAGTTAAATAAAAATCCACAACAAAAAATAACAGTAAAATGTCAAGATGATCACAATAAACTTTCTCTGAATTAATGTCAAAATATTTGAAGATCTTGACTGGTTAACGTCTTTTTTACAAGGCAAATTTTTAGACGTATGGTTCTTCTATCTTCATGTATATTTACTTTTAAAAAATAAAATAAAATATTGATAGTAAATTCCCGTTTATTCATAAATATATAGAGATATGTAACTCAAGTAATTTTATGTATGGTCTATAATGGTAGATTTCCAACGTCTATGCATTTTTATCTATTTTCTATGTAATTTATTTATCATTTTGAGGTAAACCTTTGGATTTGACCAATGATGCAGAATTATCGAGGTTTTTTTATTTTTTATGATGAAAGATGGGCATACTTTAAGCACGGACAGCAAGCAAATTTCCATTACTGAGTGATTTTTCAATCAACTAAGTACATAATGATGGCTACTTCTCATCTATGAAGTGACATGTGTTTTGATATTTTTATGACTTTTAAACCTGTGTTGTATAAATCCTACATGTGATCTGCACATCCCACATATAAAAGATGCTGTAGAGTGTAAAAGGTAGGAGGTGTCTAAATTTGTTATATGGTTTTGTCTTTAGTTTTTGTCATCTTTTTCACTTTTTAAAGAGGGGAGGCTGTGCTTAGCATTATTGTCTAAATCTGGCTTTTATGTTGACTATTTTAATAAGGACTATCCTTCATTAACCACTTTTATGTCAAATGTTTACAAATGTTACAGGTGTCAGATTAAGCATACTTTTTAAGATTGCAGACTATATGAAAAAATCACCAAGACCTGCCATCAACTTGGAGACTCAAAAAGTTCTGTACACAATTGAAACCCCCAACCTGATGTGATCTATTCAGGTTATAATACAATCCATGGTTGACCCTTCTTATATCAAAGGTTATAGGATCATCATATAGTACAGGCTATATATAATCTGAAACAATGCATAATATATGAAATCCTTAGAGCCTTTTACAGGTCGACTGTAAAAGAACCCTCAATGCCTTCATTTATTAAACACCTCATTGACCTCAATAGATTCTGCACATGTTGCATGAAGATAGGTAGTATGTGGAACTGTGCATGACCACAGCATACTGATTGAACCAATATAAGTTATAGACATTATAGTAATATCTTTTATAATGGTTGGTTTCCCATATGTAGTCCAGAATTTTCACACAGCATTGACAGCACAATATCATAGTTAAATCTATGAACCAAGTAGCTTTTTAAGACTGAGTCCTCTATGATATATTCATTCAAAATAGAAAGTATATAGGGTTCATCACTTCCAATGTGCACAAATCTAATATTTTTGTTGATAAGAATTTATTATGATAACTACAACTAAATACACATGATTTGTATCTATTCAAGTTATTGTACAATCTACGATTAACCCTTCTCATATTAAAGATTATAGGATCAGCATAGAGTGCAGGCTATATATAATCTAAAAGAATGCATAATATATGAAATCCTCAAAGCCTTATGCAATTTGACTATAAAAGAATGCTGCATACCTTCCTTTGTTGAACAACTCATTGACCTAAATAGGTTCTGCATATGTTGCATGAAGATAGGTAGTATGCAGAACTGTGCATAACCACAGTATACTGATTGAACCAATATATGTTATATATGTTATGGTAATATCTTCTACAATGGTTCGTTCTAAAGGAATGGTCTAGAATTTTCACACACCATTGACAACACAATATCATAGTTGAAGTATTTGAAATAAGTAGCTTTTTTAGACTGTACATTCTATGATATATTCATAGAAAATAGAAAGTATGTAAGGTTCATCACTTCCAATGTGCACGGATTTAATATTTTTATGAATAAGAATTTATTAGGATAGCTACAGCTTAATAAACATGATTTGTAACAATATTGTATGCACAGTTCACACTACCACTGTGTACAGATCTAACATTTCTGAGTCAAAAGTATAGAGACATCACCTTTAGTGTACAGTAATGAGAGTAACAATTCTGAGTCATACCTTTGCTATAGTAGTTGTTGTTGTCCTTCAAGGTGTTCATTAGTGGTTATAAAATGGTGTCTTAGTTGCTTCATATAAACACACCGATCTCAACCTTTCAAGCTAGAGAACAGAATCAACAATGTCAAGATAATCTCTAATCAAGGATCTTCATGATGGAACAGATAGGTGGATCATTGTTGCTAGAGTCTTGAAGAAATGGAATGTGTATCAAAAATCTAACCCGACAGAGGTCTTTTGTGTCACAATGGTGTTAGTTGATGAAGAGGTTAGTTCAACTTATATGTATCTATTTCTCCCTTAATACTCTTAATGGTACTAACCGTCAATGATGTCATTTTTTTAGGGATCCAAGATCCAAGCAAGTATCCTGACCAAGAGCCTACTTGATCACTATCGCCAGACACCTGTGGAGGACCAAACATATTTCATAGCTAATTTTGTGTTGTCAACTAACACCAACCAATTTAGAGCAACGACTCATCCATTTAAGATAACATTCTCTCAACAAACTTTTATGAGGGAAGAAGTGGCTGGAATCCCAAAAATGTGTTTCACTTTCTTTCCTATTTCTGAGATAATTAAGCAAAAGGAGGATGAATCTATTGATCATCTTATTGGTGATCATATACTTTTCTTTATACTTTTATATTTATATTGTAGATTAATATTACGATTGTACAAGAAATAAATTTTTATTATGTCAACAGATGTTATTGGATTTTTAAGAAACATGGGTTCACTAGAAGAGTATAGGAAAGACAATGAAACCAAACATAAGCTGAGGATGGTTCTATGTGATACTGAGTACATTCCTTACCATATACTAAATTTTCTTTTCTGTATTTAACATGTTCTAATTTTTAATTTGACTCGACATAAAATAAAATTGCAGGGACAATGACATTGAGGTTGTTTTGTTCGATGAGTATTCCAATGATGCTTTTATGGGGCAACTGCATAATCTACAAACTCCAGTGGTCATTGTTATCCAGCTAGCTAGGATTGGTTTCTCTGAAGATGGTCCACATTATATGTTTTCTAATTTTTATTTAAAATTGTATCATTGATATTTTATACCACAAAGTCTAATTAACTTTTATTTGGATAGGTACACCGTATGTGTGCAGCTCCTTCAATGCCACCAAGGTGTTATATAATCCAGCTATCAAAGAAGTCAAAGATATGACAGAAAGGTAAGTCAAAATATACCAGATTTTAGAGTTTTGTGGCTCTATTCCATTTCCTAACTAATGATAATAATGAATGACAGTGCAAAGGATCGTTCATCACCAATTATGAGTGCTGCATATCTAAACATGACACCGGTTAGCACCCAACCATCTACATTAAGCATGATTCGAAATAATAGGAGAGTCAAGATTGCTCAGATTCAAGATCAGGAAGTTGTAAGTGTATTCTGAACTATGCTCTTCTGATTTTACTGGATTTTAAATTAATATTAAAATGTCATTTTCCTTTGATGATAGGACTCAAGTTTTTTGGTGCACTGTACCATCGTTAAGTTGGATACCCGTCATCGTTAATATTAAAATGTCATTTTCCCATCATACTAAGCTTTACCTACTAATGATATTGTCCCTGAAATGTCAACGTCTGAGATGGTGACCCCACCACATATAGTATATGGAGGATATGGAAAGGGTAAAAGAAAGAATACTGTCAAGAGGAGTGGTGGTGCAGGTACTACTGCTAAGGCAACTGACTCAGGAAGTTCATCCGTTACACTTGGCAAACCACTAAAAGCTATAAAGCAAGAGAAGTAGACTTCCATGACGAGCTTAGCTGAGAGGTGTCATTCCAGCTGGAATGGATATGGAGTCTATTATATTTCTGTTTTTTTTCCTGTAGCTTTGTTTGAGAAATGCCTTTGTAGACCTTTAGAATTTCCTGCCACTATGTGGTTTTGGATTTCGTTAGTTCTTGTATGGCCTTTATAAGCCATACATTTCATTGTGTTTATTTTACTTATGATTGTTGTTATGTGCTCTCCATAACCCTATAAACTTTTCTTGAAGTGATCAGGGTTGTGGCTGTCATGTTAGTTATGTTCTTTCTCTTTATTTCAATAATAAATCCTCTCAGTTTGTTTTACTATTTCTTTATCATAGTTCAAATTCAAATTCAATTTTTTCTTAATTTAAATTCTATAAGAGGATCGTATAAAAGAAATTTATATAATATTATAAATAAAAATAAAGAAGGTTGCCAGATAAATGTAAGCTAAGTAGACTATGTAATCAAAGTCTCTCTATTAATATATAAAACTACCAAGACAAATAGTGTTTGAATCTTATCTGTTAACAAACAACTTTTAAAAAATTTGAGGGCATACCCACAAAATAATTCAACTTACCTACTTGTGTATTTTGCTAATGAAAGCTTATCTATTTAGCAGATAACTTGATATGCGATGCATTGATAGCAACTTCAATGCATAAATGACTTGAATTCCCTTGCATTACTAATAATAAATTCTTTTCTGATAAAATGAAACAGCAATGTTAGAAATGACTTCCATGACTTATATACTTCAAGCCATGTAGTAAACTATTTCCAAGGTTAACAGACAGCATTAAACAATATATACTTAATGTAATCAAATTGCTGAATTTTTAATAGTGACATGGATAGGTTTAGCAGATAACTTGATATGCTATGCATTGCCAATGCTTAAGACAAAAACTTCAATGCATAAAATGACTTGAATTCCCTTGTACTACCAATAATAAATTCTTTTCTGATAAAATGAAACACAATAATGTCTACAGATTAAAATATAAAAATATGTTGTCAAGAATCTAATATCCACAATCATAGTTAAAAACAAATTGGTTAGAGTAGTATGCATTAACAAAATGATCCATACATTATTTGTTAATAATTTTAATGACTACACAAACTTTATCTTATTTGTAATAAAGGCAAATTATTAGTCTAGCTAGACAAACAGAACATATATTTAATAGCATACCAGAACAAGGTAAGGTGTTAAAGCATACTATTAAATTACCTTATCAGTTGTTAAGCAGTCATTTTCAACCTACTTGACCTACACTCTGTTTCATGAAATAGCCTGCAAAGGTTCTTCCTTTCCTGCTTTGACATTGACATATCTTACTTGCATGAATAAATGAAAGTTACATCTCAGTACTGTGAAATGAGTTTAATATTTTAGTATATAAGTTAGTTTCAAGCTTTGATATGCAACTACATAGCAATAGTTTAGCTTGACTGAAAAGAAAAATGATGGATGGATTGAGCAAACAAGTCACAGCCGAGCCAAATGAAAGCAACCATGCAGTCAGTTCAAAATCACAACATGTATATTCTGCTGTAGGTAATGAAATTATATAATTAGTTGATTAAGAAGTTTGTTCATAGGTATATCAATATTATGATTAAGTCATAAAAACTTCTTCATCTACTTATAGTGTCAAAGAACAGCATGAACTGGGTAGATTTTGAAGAACAAAATCACATGAGGAATCTACAAAGTATTACCCCACCTTCAAGCCAGAACTTTTTGTATAATTCACCAAATCAATCTATATTTATTCCCCCATCAACTAGTCAAGGTACTATAGTGAATACACTACCATCCACAGTATTATCAAATGAGGATACACATGTGGCTAAGCATCAACGCAGAAGAACTGCTTTGCAAGATATTACAAATGTTGCAACCAACCTATCTACCAAGTTCCATGGTAATGTAATCAAAGGTAAATCTTTGTAAATGTTAGATATTGAGAAAACCAATTACTAATCATTTGTACAATTTGTAGTTAATCATGATACAAGTTATTTATTATAACATGTACTGACCAATTGTAGAAGTGCAAGTGAATTGTGATGCCATTTCATTACCGAAAGATGTATTCAAGCACAAGAGTAGAAGGTTTTGTGCAGTTGAGACAATGAACAACCCTACAGTTGTTGTGACAGAACCAAAGAAGAGAGGTCAACCTTCTAAGAAGCATGATGGATTACATCTATCTAAGAAACATTTTGATTTAAGAAATGGAGGTTAGTCATGTCATTTTTTAATTACAGAAATTATATATCCATTATCTAATTAGGATGAAGTGAAAACGGTCATCAGTACCTTTGTAGAATCTATTTCAACATATTCAGGAAGCCTTAATTTAGTAAGTCATAAATAAAAGATGAATCTAATTAAAGGTGCAGTAAATAAATTATTGAGTCATGATATATATTTTATAGAAACCAATATAATTGAACGTACTATGCTGAATATTAATGTACATAATAAGTTTAATATAAAAAAAGGCTATTGAATAAGCACTACTACAAATGTTGTTTGTTATAGAGTTGTAATTAAATTAATATTTTTGATGAATTCGAAGAATTTTTAATTTAAATGCTAAAGTACTATGTTCTTTAATTTCAAATGTTGTTTAATTTCAAGTTGATGTAGTTTAGGTTTTATGGGTACTTTACAGAGGTATTAATGTTAAATATGCATTACTAAAAATGTTGTTTGTTATAGAGTAAAAGTTAAATTAATATTTTAGATGAATTTGGTCATACCATAATAGAGTACCTGTAGCTATGCTGAGACTCAATTACATGTTACAGGTGGTGAATTCTTAAGTGAGAGTTCTAATTTAAACAATGAACTAGAAGAAGTGACTGCAGGTATCATCACACTTTAAGAAGTAATTTTGTTACTATTCTTTCATTGCACTCTATTAATATTAGTTTTTGTTGCAGATCCACAAATATATTACAAAGACATTGACTTCTCTTTTAATTGTATGGAGGATGAAGAGTATGAACTTAGTAATGAGGGAGATCAAATTAATGGAGGTCAGAGTTTAATGAATTCCATCTTTTTCATTGATATAACAATTAGTTGATGCGTGATTTTAATAAATTTCATCTTTTTTTTACAGATGAGTATGATAAGTTTGGAATTAGTAGTAAAAATGATAATGAGGTTGGGAGTGGTATAATTGGTACTCACTCCTTCCTATTGATACTTTTAACTTAAAACATTTTACATTGTCGGTAAAGTGTTCATGACTAATTTCAAGATTTTCCTTTTTTTTTATTGGTGGAATATATAGATGAAGGTGATCCTTTAGAAACCTGTAGTTTTTGCGGAGCTCAACTATGGTTCAATGAAAGAGTTAAAAGAGATGCCTTACGAAGGAATTCAATATTTTCCATTTGTTGTCAAAAAGGCAAGGTAGTCTTACCATCTACACATTCACCGCCACCACTATTCCAGAGATTGTTCTTTGACAAGAAATCACAAGAGTCAAAGAATTTCCATACAAATATTAGACAATACAATAATATGTTTTCATTTACATCAATGGGAGGGAAAATAAACCATTCCATGAACTCTGGTGGTGGTCCCTATTCGTTTATATTGTCTGGATTAAATTATCATATGATAGGAAGTTTATTGCTGCCTGAAGGAGCTAAACCATTTTTCTCACAACTCTACATATATGACACTGAGAATGAAGTTTCTAATCGAATCAATGATGTGAGGTATGTGTTTAAAAATATATCTTTCAATAATTTCTACTTATCTTAATGTATATTAATAGACTTTTCATTGTTTAAATGCAGCAAGCATTAAAAAGATATCAATATTGATCCAACAATAGTTAAGCAAATTAAAGATGTCTTGGACGAGGTTAACCCATTTGTGAAACAATATCGAGTGGTCTCTTCATTGATAAAGAATCGTGTATTTAATCAATTGAAGTTGTGCTTGATTAGCACAAGGGAACATGATGGTCGTACTTATAATCTTCCATCAGCTTCTGAAGTTGCAGCATTAGTTGTTGGTGATATTGATATGTCATTCAGTAGGAGAGATATTATAGTAGAGGAATTATCAGGAATACCTCAACGCATCAATGAATTACATGTGTCTTACATTCCTCTTCAATATCCTATATTGTTTCTCTTGGCGAGGATGGTTATAGAGATGACATTGATCATCGTGAGGAAACTATTAGTTCAACCAAGAAAAAGAAAACGGTTAGCATGAGGGAATACTTTGCCTATAGACTAATGGCACGTGGAAATGAGTTATCCCCATTACTTCATGCACGTAGATTGTTACAACAATTCATCATTGATGGGTATACAATGATTGAATCACAAAGACTACTATGGGTAAAGACTTATCAAAAAGAGCTTAGGGTTGATTTATATCAAGGGTTGACTGATGCACTAATTAGCGGAGAATGAAACGCAAATTCTACTAGAAAACGAATCAGTTTGCCTTCATCTTTCACTGGTGGGGCAAGATATATGATTCAAAATTATCAAGATGCAATAGCTATTTGTCGATGGGCAGCATATCCAGATCTTTTCATCACTTTCACTTGCAACCCTGCATGGCCTGAGATAACTAGATTTTGTCAGCGAAATTCATTATCTCCTTCTGATCGGCCAGACATTCTATCTAGAATTTTCAAATTAAAATTACAATCATTGATGAAGACTATCAAGCAGAAGAAAATATTTGGAACAATCCGTGCAGGTTAGTATAGTAATTTTAATTAAAGTTTTAGAATACATGTTTTCTTAATTATAATTCTTTTTTTGTTATTTATTACCTCCTAACTAATCATAATAATACTAATTGTTTTTTCTTTGTTTGTATAGAAGTATATACTATTGAGTTCCAAAAGAGAGGTCTTCCACATGCATATATTCTTTTATTCCTTGATCCTCAAGATAAAATTAAAGATCCAGATCATGTGGACAAGTTCATCTCTGCTGAGATTCCTGATAAAGAATCCTCACTATTGTTACATGACTTGGTAAAAAGATTTATGATTCATGGTCCATGTAGTAAAAGTAACCCTAAATCTACATGCATGAAAGATCAAAAGTGTAGTAAATATTTTCCCAAGAAATTCAATGAGGAAATAACCATTGATGATGATGGATATCCTACTTATAAAAGAAGAGATGATGGAAAGGTTATTGAAATCAAGGGTATTCCTTTGGATAATAGATATGTTGTGCCATACAATCCTTTACTATTATCCATGTTCCAAGCTCATATCAATGTTGAGAAGTGCAATCAATCTACTGCAATTAAGTACTTATTTAAGTACATTAGCAAAGGTGATGATAGGGTAGTAGCTACAATTTATGACAACAATGATGAAATTCAACAGTATTATAATTGTAGATATGTTTCTACATGTGAGGGATCATGGCGTATATTTGGATTTGACATTCATCATAGATATCCTTCTGTTGAAAGATTAAGTTATCATCTTCCAAATCAACAATGTGTGATATATTGTAATACTGATGATGTAGCTGATTTGCTAGACAAACCAAGGGTTTGTGAGTCACAATTCCTTGCTTGGTTCAAAATAAATAGATCTAATGATGATTTTGCCAAAACATTAACATATTTTGAATTCCCACAATATTATGTTTATCAAAGGGATAAACGAACTTGGAAGCGAAGGAAGAGAGGATTTGTAGTTGGTAGGATTCCTCATGCATCTCCAACATCTGGAGAACTTTACTTCCTCAGAATCCTATTAACAAAGGTAAGAGGACCTTCTTCATTTGATGATATCAAAACTGTTGAGGATATTATATACCCAACATTTAAAGAGGCTTGCTTTGCACTTGGATTATTGGATGATGATCAAGAATATATTAATGCAATAAGAGAAGCTTCCATATGGGCATCAGGAATATCACTTCGAAAGTTATTTGTTAGTATGTTACTTTGTTGTTGCCTAAGTCATCCCGAATTTGTTTGGAAGAACACCTCAACTCTACTATCTGAAGATCTGTTGTTTGTCCCTCATCATGATCCAACCTTATCAGGTAATTTTAAATTAAGAGTTATTTTTTTCATCCTTGCTTTGAAATATAAGCAATATGAAGTAGTAGAAATCTTATTAAGGTTATTCTTGTATAGGGTTTCAAGTATTAATGTTTGATAAGGAACAAGTTGCACTTCAACAAATTGATGCTTTGCTTAAAAAGAATGGTAAAACGCTTCATGATTTTCCATCTCTTCCATTGCCTGAGGCTACATCAACAATTGACTTGACAAATCACCTCATACTACAAGAACTAAATTATGATCGACATACGTTGCAACTACAAGCGGATACTCTCATCAAGGCCCTTAATACAGAGCAAAGGAATATATTTGACCATGTCATCTCTTCATTGTCTTCAACATCAGGTGGATTCTTCTTTGTTTATGGATATGGAGGCACTGGGAAAACATTCTTATGGAATGCATTATCTTCATCACTTCATGCTAAAGGAGATATAGTATTGACTGTCGCATCTAGTGGTATTGCTGCAACATTATTACCTTCAGGAAGGATAGCACACTCAAGGTTTGCAATTCCTATCCAAATTACTGAATCTTCAGTCTATAACATAAAACATAATTCTCCATTATCACATTTAATACAATGCACTAAACTCATAATATGGGATGAAGCTCCAATGGTTCAACGTTATTGCATAGAAGCATTTGATCGAACACTTAAAGATATAATGCATTGTAATAATCCTTTTGGTGGAAAGTGTGTTATAATGGGTGATGATTTTCGCCAAATACTTCTTGTCATACCAAAGGGGACAAGAGCAACTATTGTAAATGCATGCATTAGCTCTTCACATTTATGGGATCATTGCACAATATTTCAATTAACAAAGAATATGCGACTATGTTCTTCATCTTCAAACAATGATGCCCAAAAGTTGGCATCATTTTCACAATGGTTGTTAGATGTTGGTGATAGAAATTTAGGGGAACCACATGATGGTACAACTAAGATAGAAATTCCTCCTGATTTGTTAATCTCCAATTACAAAGATCCCATGGAAGCAATTGTTTCATCCTCTTATCCGAACCTATTAGAAAATTTATCAAATTTAAAATATTTCAATGACAGAGCAATTCTTGCCCCTACTATTGAGAGTGTAAATGAAATTAATGATTACATGTGTTCATTGCTCCCTGGTGAATCAGTTGAGTATTTAAGTTGTGACTCCATTTGTAAGTCCACCCGTGACAGTGATTGCTTTGAAGATTTGTATACTATTGAATTCTTGAATACAATTAATAGCTCTGGATTGCCTCCTCATAGACTTAAATTGAAGGTTGGAACACCGGTTATGTTGCTGAGAAATATTGACCAAGCATTAAGTTTATGTAATGGGACTCGATTACGAATTACTCATATGGGGAAGAGTGTAATTGAAGGCATCACACTAAATGGATCAAATCTAAATCAAAAGGTTTTGATCCATAGAATGGATATGAATCCTTCGAAAAATAGATGGCCATTCCGCATGCAGCGAAGACAATTTCCAATAAGTCTTTCATTTGCAATGACTATTAATAAAAGTCAAGGCCAATCTTTGAGACATGTTAGATTATATCTATCGAAGCCTGTTTTTACACATGGGCAACTATATGTAGCATTGTCAAGAGTGAGAAGTATGGACGGGCTTAAAATTCTTGTGCAAGATAATGACAACATTAGGAAGAGCACAACTACCAATGTTGTATACAAGGAGATATTTAGGAATTTGATATAATTTTTTGCTAACATAATGGAATTGTTATTTTAAAATATATTTAGTTGATTCAATGGTCTATTGATTTAATTACTAATACATATATTTAGAATTTATAGTTTTTAAGCTTCCCGTGCATCGCACGGGGAGTGAACGCTAGTTTAAAAAGCACGTGGACGTGCTTGATGGTTCATGCAAGGGGCCCACATCTACTTCGTCATTTTTTAAAACAACCAAAACAAAGGTTGCTGGTACTTTATATCCATGCATAGCCACTTTTAATTATCTCGATACTTTTTCTCATCAACTTAAAATTCATTTTAGGGTTAAATGATGAAAGTATTCATGATCTTTTTTGAAGATTACCCAGAATCTTTAAATAAATGATAATGTAAGAATGCCCATAATATTGATGAAAAAGTGATAAAAGTGTTTAAATTATTAAATTTAACTAACGTCCGTTAATGTTGACTATTAAAAAAAAGAAATAAATATAATGTGCAAAAATATTTATAAAAGTTTTCTCTTGAAACTTTTAATATCCTAAAATTAATAATAATACATTGATACTCATTAATTTTATAAAATAGGCTAACCTTTCCTAATCTATTAAGTTTTATTCTTAAAACTTCATAGTCAACATTAAGTTATTTTAATACAATAAAATTAAATTAGATAAAAATTGAAAATCTTAATTTTTTATAGATAAATATTGAAATTGATTGCAAAAGAAAAAATAAAATAAAATAATATTTAATAATTCAGGCATTCAGCCAACCCGAACATCCCGAAAGCCCTAGTTATTAGAGTTGAGTTTAGCTATATATATGACATCTTTTATAAAATTAATAAATACATATGCATCATTATTATTGACTTTAAAATACCAAAAGCTCTTAAAGAAAAAATTTATGAGTATTTTTACACCTTATATTTGTTTCTTTTTTTTTAATTGTTAACATTAATGGATATTAGTCAAATTTGACAAAATGGGTACTGTTGTACTTATTATAATAGATTCATGGATTTTTGAAAAAAAAGTTTATGAATATTTTTGTCTTTTCCTCTTCTTTATAAATCTCTTTTTTTAAAACCAAAAAGCTTTCATTTATTCTTATATTATAAAATATCCAAAATTAGGACTCAAGTATTATAAGGAGAAACAATTGCGTTGGTAAAAGTTTGGGGAAAACGACACTAGGGCAACTTATGATGAAGAGGTCACACGATTTTGGAAATTGATAAATCTTTATGTCAATGGCTATCATTTATGAAGTTATAGTGAGGATGAAGTTGCTCTTCCACTTTTCTCCTCCTTTCTTCCTTCAGCCACCACTTTTGTTACTAGACAACTATGGTCGCTTCTCGTAAGATATTTATCCACTCTTATGATTTTTTGTAATTGAAGAAACCTATCAAAAAAAGAGGGATTAAGTTGTATTTTTATTCTCAAGCTTTTTCTTGAAAAACAATTTTATCCATGTATTCATAAGTAGGGCAATTTTACCCATGAGCTATTTTTTCAAGAAGCACTAGGCAACTTGTAAAAGAATTTTTTTGCTTCTCAAAAAAATAATTTAGAGATAAAATTGTTTTATTTATGAGTACATGGATAAAATTGCTCATAAAAAAAACACATATTAACAAAAAAAAATACATACGTATTTTATACTTTACACACATATGCATATAAACAACCTCTATATAATCTCTCTTATGATTTTTTGTAATTGAAGAAAACTATTAAAAAAAACACATATATGTTTTATGCTTTACACACATATGCATATAAACAACCTTTATATGGTCTTTAGAATCAAAATATTTTAAAATAATAAGTCTATATAATGGTTGCTTAAAGTAACCACTATATTCTTAGGGATTTTTTTTTAAATAAGACTAAAGAATGGTTTTTCTTAGTAATAACCATATGGACCTTAAAATTATATAACAGTTATTTAAAATAATCGCTATATAATCTCTTAAAACCAATTCTGTCTCATTTATATGACAATTTTTGAAATAACTATTATATAAAAGAAGCTATATATAAGCTATTTTTTAAGTAGTGTATGCAATTCTATGTGATTTTTGTTATCAAAGAAATATGTGAAAAGAAGACCTAGTAAAAGTTGTAAAAATAGGAGGATGAGTTGTAAATTTTGAAGGAGGAAGAGTTGTAAATATCATACAACAACTATAATTGAAAATGGTGGAGAGAGGAAGGTAAAAGAGGAAACATGTGGAGGCAATTTTATTTAACATTAATTTCACAACTGATATCAATTAGGACCAAATGACATTTTGGTTAAACCTTATGATCTGTGTCATGTTTGATGATGATATTAATCAAATGTGAATAGAACTAACTAGTTCGGCTCATAAGTCAATATCCCTAATGTTGGTTTGTCAAAGAAAGTAATAGTGGGCGTTTAAAAGAATTGAATATTAAAGATTTGGAAACGTATGAGTAATATATTATAAATCAATATATATAGAAGTCAATATCTCTAAAATTGTTGTTTGACATTTAGTTACTATTTCTATAATAAATTATAAATCATTATGTGAAACTTTTTTTTTAAATTCACTCGTATATTTTCAAATAAGATTTATTTGGTCAAAATGTAGTTCAAATGAAAATTATATGATGACTAGTAAAATTTAAGTAGTAAAATATGGATTTCGGATGTAATTATATTTTGACCTTTGATCACTGTATATTTTTAGAGTCGGTAATTCAAAAGGGCCGAGCTTATTCGAGTTAGGCTTAATTCACGTCGAGTTTTTTCAGGTCAGACTTAAAGTATCTTACATTCATGAAAAATTATATAACCAAATTTGGCCCTAATTTTTTTCAGACAAGTTTAGGCTAGCCTGTCAGGCTTAGCCAAAATTACCAACTTTACATACATATAAGGTTGAAAATTTCAGCAATTGGACTTATTTTGGTCTGGCTCAATTCGGACTGAGCTTATTCGAATCGGGTTTAAAAAATCCTCCTCTTTTAAAAAAATTCATATAATTAAGCTCGGTCCTAACTTTTTTAAGGCAAGTTTGGATTTAGTCCGAATTATCGGCTTGAAATACTTTAATTATAACTTGCAAAATACATTGGTACAGTTGAATGAATTTCAATTTTATTAAGCTAGCAAATTTTTAGTGGCCTTAGGAAGATCTTCATTCGAATAAAAATTGCGTTCTACTTTAATGAATTTGAGACATCCAAAGTTACTCTATAGTCATTTTTTTTAATACAAGGTTACCAATTAAAAGATCAATGAAAAGGAAATAACTAGGATAAATAAACTAATTGGTACCTTTGTTCAACACTAAAAGTATGATCTAGAGCAACAATTTAATCAGGATGGATTTAGCATTTAGAGGGCAAGCACCAATGTTACAATTTTTTTTTTTAAGTTCTTTGCTTTTATTTGGAAAATGCTAAAACGAATTTTGGACCCACTATTATGTAATTTTGCATTTTGGCCCCCCACATAGAATTATTTCTGGATTTGTCCTTGGGTCCAATCCTTTATAATTAGAATCCTTAACATCTTAAATGATGTAAACAGGCAAATGATTTGGAGATACTTGCCTCTGAATAAAGCTAACATTGCTTTTTTCACAACCTTGATTCTAAACAATCTTAGACCTTTCAAAATAGTGAAATAGCCTCAAGTTCAACACTAATATTTGAAGGGAAACAAATGTTTTTTACATTACAAATTCCCTTTAATTAGTTGCCATTGCAATATGGAATAAAGCCTCACAGGTTTTGTCCCCTCTTTGTTTAACAGACCAATCCAACATCTAATCTAACCTAACTAGCTTGAACGCTGATCAATTTTTATTTCAATGGATTGACCTTTTATTATTACTCCTTTTGTTTTAAATTATAGAATACTTTTAAAAGAGTTTTTTCATCCTAAAATATAAAATACTTTAGATAGATTAAATTTTTATTAAATGCACCAATTTTAATATTACCCTTTCTCTTTTTATTATTAATTTATGTCCCTTCTCTTTTCAATATATTAAATGATAAATACTTTTAAAAATTTATATTTTTGTTTTAGAAAGATAAGTTTGTTAAATGTATTTAATAAAATTTATTGATATGTAAGATTTTATCTAAAAGTACTTATCTTATAATTTAAGACAAAGGAAGAATTATTTTTTTAGAGTCCTAGGTTTGTTGAAAGAACAAATTATTCGAATAAAAATACTTCAAATTCGACTATTGTGCCTCTTGCAAAGGAAAAATTGATTTAAAAAATATATATGATAGGCTAATTAATAAATATTTTAAGTCATATTTTTTTAACATATTTTAAGTTATATGTTGTTAGTAATTATTAATGATTATAATTTTTAGGGTTGAGCAAGTGACTCGATGGTATGCTCTGCCTTATGCAAACCATTCAAATTTATTAGGCCGAGCTTTGGGTTGTGATCAAATCCCGCGCTGCCTTGCCTGACCTAAATATAGGTATCTTTGTTTTGAAAAAAAAAAAAACAGAGATTAAAATTAGTTGTTTTATAATTTTTTTTCACTTCATTTCATGTAATATCTTGCTTTTATGATCAGTAATGATATTTTTTATGATTCTAGATTTTTAATCATTTTCAAATTTAAAGTAATTTTTTTATATTAGTAATATAAAAAAATAAGGGATAATTTTTAAGTATATATAATTTTAAAAATGGATTTTTTCAACCTAATATTACTTTTATGTGAAATTTATCTTACCTGAATTGCACATCAAGTCCACAATAGGTTAGAGTGATGCCAAACCTGACCCTGCTCGTTGTATTTCTTATATTTTTCATCACTCCACTTTTTATTTTTGGATTCATCTCGTTTTGGAGGCTTCCTGTCTAAAAACTTAATTAATTTAGTTCGATGTCCATTAATTATTTCCATCACATTAAAGTTGAAAAATACCACACATTTTTAACAATAATTTGCATATCAATAAAATTCTTATTTTCATAAAAATATGTATTATTTTTCTTTTTTATGCTTTGTTTCAATTTATGATGAGTAAAAAAAGTTATGAATTGACGCAAACAATAATTTATGTTAATAAATATAAGGAGTAAAATAAAAAATTATTTTTATAAATATTAAGTTACTTATATTTGGATTAAAATTAGATGAAAAAATTTGCTTATATTTTGGACCAAAGGGAACATATATGAAGACAAAATCATTTTAATATTTTCACTGATAAAATATTTTTTAATTAGCTAATCACTATTTTTAAAGTTAGTATTTATAAAATCAGTTTTTATTTCTCAGTTGTATTTTTTATTAAAGACAATCATATCATGTTACGAGGGACTAGTACTTAACCATCGTTTGGTTATAAAATAATATTTAAGTGTTGAATATTTTTATTCTTTTAGTGAACAACAAGAGGACAAAATGTCCAAAAAAAAAATATCAAAAACTACAGCCAAATCCATCTCGAATAAGAGACACCCAAGCAATTCCTATGCAAAATCTCGAAGTGAATTATAAATTTTACATTTCAATTAGATTAACTATAGCTTTAAGTAAGCATAATTAACTCATATGGAGCTTTCATGTTATATCAAATATTAAATAAAAAATTTGATTTGTGAATTATAAATTTTTATTTAAATTGTGAAAATTATGGTTGTAAGTGAAAACCAAGTTAACTATCAAAAGTTTTTTTTAAAAAAAAAAACTGTCAAGAGCTTTATTAACTAAATCTAACTTAAAACAACTCATAAGCTAAATATGTAAATTCCAAATTGGTTATATTACTTTTCTTACATCCTAGTTAAACCAATAATAACTATAAACATGAATAATTAACTCCATAGAAACTTTATATTATATCAAGCATTAAATAGAAATTTGACCTGTAAATTTCAAATTTTTACTTATAAATTATGAAGTTGCAATTGTAAATGAAAGCTAAATTAACCATCAATAACTTTATTAATTAAGTCTAACATTTAACAATCCATAGGCTAAATATGTAAATCTCAAATGAGTTCTATTACTTTCCTTACATCCCAATTAGATCAATTATAACTTTAAGTGGACATAATTAAATCATGAAAACTCCATGTTATATATCAAGCATTAGACAAGAAATTCAACTTATGAATTATGAATTTTTACTTATAAATTTTAAAGTTACAATTGCAAGTGAAAGCCACATTAATAGGGATGGTATTATCTTTGTGCCTCAATCATAAATTACATTCAAATTCTAAAAGATTTGGCTATACTTATTAAATTTTACAAGACTTATCTATAAATAAATCTGTTGCACGATATCTATTTGTAATTTTCCCAACAAAAAACCCCTAAATTTCATTAAAATTTTAAAGTGTACTCCCTCTAATTTTATTTATAAGGTGAGAAGAGAGGATTTTTTTTATTATAAATCACGTCATCACTTTTTTATTACAAATTTTTTAGCTTTTCGTTAAATATTGGTGAACAAAGGTACAATACGAATAGAAAAATGATTTGCAATATCTTTCTTTGAAGAGGCGCCAAACGCCAATTTACTTACTTCAAAATGACTGGCACAATAAAGTAAAAAAAAAAAAAAATACGTCATTAAATACATACATACATATTTACAATTATAAATTTGAGGGTTTTATTTTCACCATTAAAATGCAGTTAATAAGACAGTCTCTACCTTAAGTTTTATTGTTTCTCCTCGGTAGTGATCGTTTATGGTCCACAGGAGAACAAAACAGAAAGGACATTTTATACCTAAGAAGTATGTTTAATTTCCAGGAACAAACACTACACCTAAAGGGGATCTCAAAATTTAGAAAACATATATTTAAGACAAGAAAGTTATATATATATATATATATATATAAAGTGTAAAAAGATTTGGAAAGACTGACCTAAATTTTGTGTAGTGGCATGTTGCTAACTTCAGCTAGATTGAATAAAAATTATTGATTCCCTTTGCTGTCCAGTTCTTTTTCATGCCGGGGGCAGTGCTTTGTAATCTTCCCGGATTCCTTGCAGGTTGGGTTGGTGACTATCCAGCACCGTTCGAAGAGCACTTCTTCTGCCATGGCCACCACCGCAACCAATAGAGTAAGATAAAAATCTGAAGAAATGTGCTGTCATGACCTGTTGGCAAAATAAGTGTTTTGGTTTTTGCTCATAACCAAATCAGAGGTATAAAAAGGGACAACAGCTGAGGGGTATCTCCTACGAGAGATGATAGAATAGAGATGTTTTCAACACCATTACAATCTGATAGTGAAACAACGTTGGACAGATCGAACTGACTAGTGTTCTGTGATATCTGTTTTAACAAAGGACTGAGATTTCCAGGCGTCCACAGAGAAATCAATGTAACCATACAGAAAAATCTCAGATCACTTTAAAGATGTCATTTTCAAATTTGCTAGTTAAAAATGAAACCACAGGAGAAGAATACAAAAGAGAACTGAAGGATAAGTTCAGTTGTTCTAAGAAGGCGATTGATAACTTCTCTGTCAAATGTGAGAAGAGATTTTCACTAACTGTAAGAAAATAATACCATAAAACATATCAAATACTATCCAAGCTGAATTTTAGTACGTGATCTCTTGTAAAATAACCTGTCTAACTGTAAAGTCTGCTATGAATTTGCTTTGATGCTAACCCAAGCGTGAATTTAAAATTGACATAATGAACCAAGAAAAGCAATTCAGACGCTTCTTAAACCAGTCACTTGAAAAAGTGTTGCTTGTGACCCCAACACATAAAGCAAAGAACCACATAGTTTACATACATGGGGCCTACATTTTTTTTTTTTGGGACGGGGGGGTGTTCTTGATAATTACTTTCCCAGATTCATTCAATATGGATACCTCAAATTTTTAATGCACCGGCAACTGTTCTACTGAAATATTTAGCTCAAACTGTGGCAAATCGTAGTTATAACTTGCAAAATGTGATTAACAAGTAGTAATTGAACTTTCATCCAAGCATGCAACCACAATTCACACGTATCATGTAAGGGCCTGATTCATATACTACAATCAGTCATATCATAACTTCTAAAGTGTGCGCGTGTTTTTGGGGAGGGGAGGTTGTAGGCACACATTAAATCTAACACCTAATGTCTTGAGGCGCGTTATGCAAGCAAGCGCAAGAAATTTCTCACCTGCGATGAAAATGCCACTCCGACTTAAGACTTCATCAGCAATGAGCTTGATGTCATTCCCAATGTAATCTTTAGTGACATCACAAGCAATGATGGCACAATATGCAGCCCTAATTTCCCCAAAATGAAACCCATTCCTTAATGGCAATCCTTGAATCACGCAAAATATATCCATGCCTCACTTTCCAGGAAGAGGATTATGGTGGCAAAATATTGCAAGTGTCATTATTTTGGTCTTCCACAATGTCCAATATTTTTTTTGTTTTTTTTTTTTTGTTTTGAACAAAGTCAAGGCTTCATTCAAAAAACCAGAAACCGACTACATCTCAACAAGTGAAATTCGCAAGAACTACTCAACAAGCCTTCACCAATAATTTAAATGTTTATATTTTTTCATACTGTGCCTCTTGATTGTAAAAATCTTTTGTACGTTGACATGATTCAACATGTCAACTAGCACAGTTTATCCATGGCCGTCTATTAAAAAAAAAAAAAAATTGCAAGAACTGAGAAATGACTGTATGCTTCTCTATTACTTAAAATATGCTTCAGATTTGAGCTCTGCAGTCTGTACATGCGTCAAGCCAAAGGGGTTGGAGAATTAAGTGCAACATCCTTTATTTATTGGCTTAAGATATGCATCCCCAAAGCATCCGTGCCTCTTTCTTCAAATTTTTCAGGTCTAACTCAGGAGGCATGACATGTCTTTGAAAGAAAATCCATCAGAATAGAATCAAGCTGTTCACTGTCTTCAGATCACATTTGATCAGTGCTAAGAATAGCCCAAAAAACAAGGAATCCTAGGGAGGCACAGTGGCTTATTCTTGCACAGGGTTTATTTTCCTTGAATTCATTCCTTTTCATGTAAAGAGGTGAAAACTGGGGACCACAGTGGAATTTCTTATTCAACAATTTGCCCAACTGTAACCTGGATTCTTTTGAACACGCTTATCTCTCATCAAATTTCTTACTTGCGCTGATCCTTCCCAATCCTCAGAAGTTGCAAGTATGTTAGATAATTGTATGAAAGCACTGGAATTTCCAGGATCAAGCTCAATAATTTGCTCAGCAGCCTTCTTGCCAAAAGTCATGTTTCCATGGGCTACGCAGCCTCTCAATATCGATGACCACATGCTTGCATCAGCCTCAAAAGGCATCTCTTCCATAAGATCCATTGCTTCCTTAAAGCAACCAGCGCGGGCTAAGAGATCAACCATGCAAGAGCAATGCTCAATGCCTGGATCAATGTTATAGTCATATTTCATACTACTGAACCAATTTCTTCCTTCTTCAACTAGACCACTGTGATCACAGGCTGAGAGAACCGCAGTAAAAGTTATACCAGAAGGTCTAACACCAGCAAGCCTCATTTCACTGAAGAGGGCAAGTGCTTCAAATCCGTATCCATTTGTAGCATATCCCATCAACATTGTATTCCAAGAAACTTCATCAGTTTTGATCATTCCATCAAAAATTTTACGACCTATCTCAACAAACCCACATTTACAGTAAAAATCAACAAGGGAAGTAGAAATGATCTGGTCAGATTCAAGCCCAATAGTAACAGCTTTACCAAATACTTGTTCACCAAGTCCAAGGGATGAAGTACTTGCACAAGAACTGATAACACTGGCAACGCTAAACTTGTCCAATTTTAAGTCCAGCTTAACCATTTGACAAAAGATATCTAACGCTTCTCCTGGACAAGCATTCTGAGAGAGGCCCACTAACATTGCGTTCCAAGTTATCATAGTTTTATTTGGCATTGTCCTAAAAATCCATTTAGCATCATCAATTCTTCCGCAAGTGGAATATATAGTGATCATAGTGTTAAGCAAAACCGTATCATAAGCTTTAAGCTCATTGAACAATTTGCAAGCTTCAAAAAGTCTTTGACATTTTGCATATGCATCAAGCAAAGCACTAGCAACAATAATGTCATCAGATACCCCAGCTTTAGTAGCATGGGCATGCATCTGTATGACAAGCTCAATAACAAGTAAGCTACTACCAGCACTCAAAATGTTCGCAATTGTAGAGGGGTCTTCCTCAACCCCATTTCTACGCAGTCTGTTGAAGAGAGTCAATGCTTCCAATTCCTCGCCATTGGATATATATCCTGAAATAATTGAATTCCACAAAACATGACATGGATTAATCTTTCTTTCAAAAATTCTTCTCGCATCATTCATTCTACCAGAATGTGCATACCCTGATATCAAAGCTGATAGAGAGAAGTCATCAGGTTCCCCCACAATGGTCATAATATGATCTGCAGAAACAAAATCACCACATTTCCCATATAAATTAATCAGCGAACTACATAAGACTGAATCAAGTTCCACACTGTCAATGAAAATGCGAGCATGGATTTGTTTGCCACAGTTCAAAGCCAACAAATCTGTGCAAGCCCTAACTACAGTTGCCAAAATGAATGTATCCCGATGCCTTGCTTCTAGTGGGTCTGAATTCAAATTCTTGAAGAGCATCAAAGCTTTTCCAGTTTGCCCGATTCGGACATAACCATGAATCATTGAATTCCACACTAGCTCGTTTTTCCTGGGCATAGCATTGAACAATGGATGTGCTATTTCTAGTTCACCAGCCTTCGCAAATCCAGAAACTATCACATTCCAAGAGTAATCATTCTTTATGGGCATGATATCAAATAACTCCAGGGACTTGGACTTGTGACCTAACTTCATATAACCTTCAACCATAGTACTCCAAGAGAAACAGTTTCTCTGAGGCATCTCCTCAAACAAATGCCGTGCATCTATCATGCTACCACACCTGGAGTACAACTGAAGAAGGCTGTTTCCAATTGCAAGTGCAGAATTCAGAATACCCTTTTTGAGAAAAGCAAGGTGGAGTTGCTTCACTTGGGAAATTGAGTAATGTGTGTTGCTGGAGAGAATCGCGCAGGTAAGAGCATGCAGATCAGGATTCATTTTATGATTGTTCAGTCCGAAAAGCAGATAAAATTGACAATAGTCAATGGATTCTACTTTATAGTAGATAGAGTAATTAGTGCAAGCAAAAGTAACATGAAGAAAAACAACATGGAGCAAGGTAGAGAGTTCGCAACTTTGCTTCACATTCACGGTTCAGGCGTTCAGCCTTCTGATCACCGCCTGATTTCTTGGTTCCACACGTACTCCTTTGCCCATGGCTCTCTATCCGTAAAGTAGAAGCAGCAGCCATGGAAGCAGGATCAAGCCATTTATTTTAAACTGAAACCCAGCACATGCCTGAAGGAGGATCGTCTTCATTTTAGCTTATCGATGCAAATACGGCTTTCAATGACAGTCATCTGTGCTGAACTACCATATTTTATTTAAAATAAAAAATAATTTTATTCATAATAATATAATTATCAACATAAAAAAAATTCCGACAAAAAAATCATTAAAAAATTCCTTTCAATAATATTATGTTGATAAAAATAAATCGTAATAAAATTTTATCACTTTACCAATTATTTATTATTTTTAAGAAAAACACAATTTTTATTTTTTATAATTTTATTAAATTTTATTTTTAATATTATAATTTTTTTAATATTTTAAATTTTTATAAATTTAAAAAATTGAATGGCTTTTATTTTTTAAATCTCTATAATTTTTATGTTTTTAGAAGGTGTAATTCTTATAAAATTAAAAATACTAAATAAAATTATAAAAATTAAAAATAAAATTTAATAAAATTATAAAAATTAAAGATTATATTTTTTTTTATTATTACATACTATCAAATTATAAAAACTAATTTAAAGTTTTAAATAAAATTATAAAACTGAAATTATAAAACGTTTTTTTTTTACCATAATCATAAAATAATCTAATATAAAAAATAGATGCCTTGTTCCCTAAGACAATTTCACATTCATATTTTACCCTCATTCACTATATCAGATTCGGAGAATTTCAGACCCCAAAAAAATTTCAAAAGCTTTTCATATTCATACCTGAGCAAGCTAAACAGAAAGATTCTGCAGACAATTAACCTTGACAATTACCCATCCAAACAGAGGGTAAATCAACAAAATCAAAGAGCCAGTCAAGCAAAAGCTTGAAGAGACGACGGCAGAGAGAGGAGGTCGACGGAAGGCGAGAAACACAAGAACGCGAAGCAGACGCGACGCGCAAGGAACTTGAACCAGACTCTGGACGACGAAGGCCGAAGCAGGAAACGGAAGGAGGGGCAGAGGCGACAGTCGCCGGCGGCCAGGCGGAGAAGAGACCGTGAGGGGAAGCGAGTGAGAGGCGACATGGGCACTGAAGCAAGAGATTTGGGCCCCATTAGTTAGTACGGGGAATTCGGGCTGAGCCCATCAACTACCCATTTTTTCCCTACATTTTACACAATATCGGGCTTAGAAAATTATAAAATAAACAAAGAAAAGGAATTTTCAAGATCAGTACTATTTAAAAGCACTATGGGAACCAACGGGCGCTCGGTAGAGTTGGCAAGGGCTACTACTGGCATTCTTCAGAGCGAGAGTTCGAACCCTGAGGAGTGACAGACGCGATAATTAACGCGACTTCCAAAAGGTCATCCCATCGATACCTACTTATCACCGTAAGTTCTCCTCGTGGGGGGTCCGGATTAGTCTGGGGCGGGCAATGAACCCAAAATACTCTAGATACCAGATGGTTTATACCCAAAAAAAAAAAAAGCACTACGGGGCAGACCAGAAATAGCCCAAGTATTTTTACCATCTTTTTCATATCATTTACAAGAGTGGGCCCGGTTGGGCACGAAGCTCATGAGTATACAAATGTCAGAGATTCATACCCAAAAAAAAAAAAAAGTCAGACATGAATTCATGGTTGGGCACGAAAGCCGGCATAATTTTTTTAGAACCTTTTAATTTAAATTTTAATTAAAGTAATACATATATAAACTTCGAATTATCATTTTTGCGTTGTGCAAGAAGATTTTGCATTTTGGTTGGCATTTCAAGGGTTTGATACATTTTCTATGTGAGTTTGGATCAAAACCCAGAAATGGATTTTGCTTTTAAAAATGAGGGAATAACGCCCAAAAAAAAATATTCTTTCAAATACTTTAATAATATAATAATATCACAAAATGGGGGAAATTATTCTTAAATGAACTCCTGGCCGAGGCCGACGATGAGATTTAAGCATGGTGGGAGTGAAACTAGAAGAAGACACAACAATGAAATAATCAAAAAGCAATCTGGTTGGTGGAGAGATTTAACGGCTCAAATTATATGTTTTATGGACGGTCAAGATTTTGTTTAATAATCAAGACTGTGTTTTGCCCTGGAAATATTAAAGGAGAATGATAGAGATATCCAAAAAGATTAATTAACTGAATGTAAGTTTTAAGTACCAAATTTTAAAAATTTATAAGTTTATCTCTCAATTTTACAACTTTATTACGATGAATTTATAATTTTTTTTAATTTTAATATGGTTAAAAAATAAATTAATTTATTTTTCTTATTAAAATTTAAAATATAAGTTATAAATTTATCATAATAAAGTTATAAAATTGAGAATTGAACTTTTAAATTCTTAAATTTTTGCACTTGAGATTTAAGTTGAATTAATTGATTCTCTTAAAACTTATTTATCATTATCTCAAATATCAACGTGAAAGGAGGATCAACCTATTCATTCAAAACTAGATTTAATCCTTGTCTGATGCATAAGAATGTTTTAGTATATAAAAGATGAAAATAAAAAAATTATAAAAATTTAAAAATTATTTTAGAATACTTATAATTTTTTTACTTATAACTTAAAAATTTGTTACTCTGTGAATTGTAAAATAAAAAATAATAATAAAATCCTACCAAAATATGTAAATAACAATCATATATCTCAAAATATCATAATTCCTTTAAATACCTAAGTGCATTTCTAACATTAATAATTTTAAGTTAAATGACTGAATGTCTCTTATGTAAAATAAAAAAAATAATGGATTCATATGAGGGTTATAATTTTTTATTCAATTCTTATAATTTACATAATAAAAATAATAATTGCTTAAATAAAAGTTATAATTGATTATTTTCATATCTTAGGCTTCACTGATAAAAGAAATTTTATGCGAGAAATTGTAATTTTTTATTCAATTATTATAATTCACATAATAAAAATTGTAAATGCTTAAATAAAAGTTGTGTTGATTATTTTTCAAAACTTATGCTTCAATAATACAAGAAATTTTATGTGAAAAGTTGTGATTTCTTATTTATAATTAATTAAATTAAAGTTATAATTGCTTAAACAAAAGTTGTTATTGAGGCTGATTATTTTCAAAACTTATTTATCAATTATAAAAGAAATTGTACATGAAAATTTGTGATTTCTTAATTATTTTTTATTATTTACATAACAAAAGTTGTGATTGAGAAAATAAAGTTAAACCTATTATTTTCACTTTAAATAAGAGAAAATTTATTCTTTTAATCTAAAATCATTAATTTTAAAAAAGTACTTAGAAACTTAAAAGGAAATATAGCATTTTAAGGGATCAAATTATTATTTATATATTTTGATAAGATTTTATGATTATTTTTCCATTTTAAAATACAAAGAATAATTTATTATTCTAGAATGTATATCATCCCCTAATTTAAACAATAAAATATTTCATTTTATAATTTGTCACTTAGCTTCAAAATTTTTTTTGAAGGTTAGATATTTCAGAATGTAAAGTATTTTTAATCTTTTAAATGTAATAATTATCTTTTTTTCTCTCTAAAAGTGCTGTATTGAATAAATAGCTTTATATTTATTTAAAGGTAAAACTCTTTATTAAACAAAGATAAATATAAAAAGATAAAATTAGTTTGAAAATAAGCAACTACTTCATTGAAGGTAAGATTTGATTAAAAATACCTTATATTTTTTAACAAAGAGGGTGTATTTTATTTTACATTTTATTATCTTATACATTTAAAATTTAAAAGTAATAAATTATTTTATTTACAAGTTGTTATTTTGAGTAAATTAAATTTTGAAATTAAACTCATTAGGTTACCTATATACCTTTTATACTTTGTCTAAATAAGTTTTTTATTTTATTTTATTGCATATTTAACATCTATATATTATGTTTACCAAGAGTCTTACATTTATCATCAATTTTTACAATGGATCACACATAGTTTTTCAAAATATAAAAATCTTATTATTTTTCACACCTTATCTAAATTTTTAAAATTTACAAATAAAAATATAAATAGGAAAATTTTCTACATATTCAAATAAATTTTATTAGTAAAATTATGAGTTCCATATTCACTTCACATTTTCTTTAATTGTATGTTTCAAACCCAACTTTTTTTTCTATGGGTCTCACTACACTCACTTTTCTTTAAAATTTAAGGAACAATTTCTATATTGCCCTCTCCTCTATTTTTTTATCTTAATTTCATATATCTCTATATCTCTCTTCTGGTTTAAAAATCAGCTAAAATAATTTAGTCCTTTAATTTTGTACTTCCTTGATTCTATTTATAAGTTACTTTCAATATTCTTTATCAAAACAAATAAAAATTTTAAAAATTAATAAAATATTTTTTAAAAAATTCAGAGCAAGCATTAAGGGCTTGAAGTTATGAGTTCTCATAATTTGATAAGTTATATTATTAAAAAAAGGACTTAATTGTGTTAAAAATAACTTATAATTTTGCCCCTTTTATGTATCACTTCCAAAATTAGCCATGTATGTTAAAAGTGAAAAAAAAAACAATTTTTCCCCTTTTAAATTGTGTTAAAAAATTAATAAAATATTTTTTCATGTCATGTGTTATATGTATTTCATTAATTTAACATAACAAATTATATTAATAATATAACAAAATTAATTAATGACCAAAACATAACAAAGTTAATTAATAGTAAGGAGCTTTGAAAAATAAAATTAAAGATTAAAAGGGTTAATTTTAAACGTTTAAAAGTAATGGTGTTATAAGCAATTGTCTTCAAGTTTAGAAAAGCTTTATGAATTTTTTGCTTATATTCTTTTGAAATTAAAATTAAAATTAAAGGATATTATTCTAAATTTTGTTATCATCTACATATAAATTAATCTGTCACTTAGTTTTGTATTTTATTCTACTTTTTATTATCTTATACATATAAACTTAACACTAACAAATTATTTTATTTAGAATTTTTTATTTTAGGTAAATTAATTTAAGTTATAATTTTTTACTTTAAATAAATTAAACTTTGAAGTAAAACTCATCAGATTACCTACCTACTTTTTATACTCTATCTAAATAAAATTTGTAATTTCATTGTATATTTAATTCCTATTATTTATTTATTTTTAGTATCCACCATCAATTTTTACTATGAATCCCACATAATCTTTAAAAATAAAAAAAATCCTATTCTTTTTAACATCTTGTCTAATTTTTGACTTTCATAAATGAAAATTTATATAGCAAAAAGTTTTCATCCTCTATAAATAAATTTTATTAATTAAATTATGGTCCCACATTGACCTCACTTTTTGTTTTACTAATAGGTCTCACACTTACTTTTTTTTTTATTATGGGTCATACGTCTATTTTTTTTAATATCCATTAACTATTTTTAAATTAAATTTAAACAAAAATAAAAATAATAACGCACCCTATTCAAAACACTGCAAATCTAGAGTGTTTTGATATTGTGCTTTACAATATATATTGATATCTTGATTATCATCCCACTACTGTAGCAACACTTATGAAAATTTTGGGAGCCCTTTTAATCTTTGTTGAAGCACCAAATTCACTAAATAAATATTTACGTTAACTCCATTAGGGCTTTATCACTTGTCTAACACAACTTATCCAAAAGATATCCCCTCATGAAAATTATCAATAAAACCAGGAATTTTACAGTGAAAGATTGTATTGCCTTCAACCACGTGTTCAAAAAAGCAAACAGAGACGTGTCAATTTACTTGCGGCAACTGAGCGTGTTGTGACAACTTACATTCTATAATTATTGACCACTAGGGTGTAAAAATTTTATGGATCCTGACATAACTTGATTGTATCTCTTTGCATGGATTTTTCATGACCATTAAAAAAAATATTGTATCACTAATACAGGGTTAAGGAAGCTTTTTACAGGCATGTACGTGCATATGTAAAATATTTGGTGAATATTTGAATCATCTCTTACTTCGAACATAATAATCTCCTTATTTTCATACGACGTACTCGTCAACAGGTATGTTATACTTGTGATTGTAGCACAAAGAAAATTAGAAACTTAGAATCTGTGTGTGTGTGTATCGATCATGTGAAATTGTGAATGTAGATCTTCAAACATCGCAAC